CAGAAGCACCACAGTCAAGAATCCAAATGTCAGGAGGGCAGAGAAAAGCCAAGGAGCAGAGCTGGGGCTGCCATGAGTTCACAACTTTAAACAAACTTTTCCCTGGAAGAGAATTAATAATGTGGCCATCCCCACTGTACATACTGTAACTGCTGCAGGAGTGACACAATGAGGCACATGGGAGGCAAGAGGGTAATGACTATAGAACAAAATTCAATCTAGTGGCTAATGAATAAAAAGTTCCTTTTATTTCTCAGTTGTTTTTGGTTCATTAAATTTTCCACAGATTTGCAGAGAAGAAAACGTGATCAATAAACCTTGACAAAAGTGAACATGTGAAAAAGGCGAGAGAAAGGCACAGGAAGATAAAAGTGATATCCCGATCACAGATTTCAGAGGCAGATGACCAGAGCTCTGGGCTGCTGAATAATCTGAATAGACCATCATTTCTTTACAGCCTTTTACTTTCTTTTCCCTGACTGTTGGAACTCTTCATTCAATACAATAGTAAATGCACTAAAACTTTTTTTCTTATGCTAATGGTTGAAATCGGGCGCTCACAGTTAAAACACACTTCCCACCAACTTGTTTTCTTTAAAAAAAAAAATAACCTATTCAAGTTAAACTAAAATGTCAAAGACAGCTTAAGGCTTACTCTCACCATTCCTCAAAATTAATGGTTTTCTCCCCAGTAGATACAAAAAGAAAAGACTTGAATAAGGATAAAGCTGCAAGACTCTTTTCATATGAAAAAGAACACTTAGAAAGTAAAAGAAATACATCCAGTGCAAAGATCCTGGTACCTACAGTTCTAATTTGTATTGTTTCCTCTTAGAATATTTATAATTGCAGAAAGGTGACAGCCAATCACAAATAACTGTGAAACAATGAGTAAAGATTCACCAGTGACTAATGTATTTGGGCAGCCATGCCCATAACACTATCAGAAACGTTTCCACTTATTACAATAGGAGCCCAAGGGAGCCTATTTTCAATTTTTTTCTAATTTGGGTGTCCACTTCCAGGCACTGAGGCCTCTTTTTGCTGTGGTACTGAATATTCACAAATCCCAAATAATTTCTACAGCCCTGACCTTCTGAATTAAAGAACAATTTTCCTGTTCCCTTTGTGTAACATATTTCAGCTTTAGTATATTTGGGTTCACTTTGTTTATAAGAAGTTAAAGGGTATGGGCTGTGGTTTTACAGTAGCCAAGAGTGAATGAACAGAAGTTCTGTGGCCTCTTCTGGACAACACACATCTAACATGTATTCACTCCCAACTGGAACCGGTCTATAGAAAATTTGACCCGATTACCCACTATTTCCATTCCAGTCACTTGTTCACAAGGGAAACCTGCAATTTTGCCTCCTGAACAATCAAGATTGCCATTCTTATGCAATTCTCATTCCTTTTACACCAAACAACGGTTAGTTTCTAGAAGATGCAAATATATGTGATCTGCTGTATACACAGGTCAAGAACTGTGCATATTCCATGCATACACACAAATGTGTGTACATATATGTAGATATGCACAGGCATACATGTATTATTTGCCTTTAGAACACCACGCCTTCTTGCTGTCATTCATACGAGGATTCATTCCTTGCTGTTATTTTATTTAGTGTTGTATTAATTAATTCCCAAATACCTACTGTTGTTTTGGTTTTCTTTAAAGGGATCCTGGCAACAGAGCTGATGTAAACCCTAAATACCACTTAATGCTTTGTGGCAAGTTGTCCAAATGTGCAACTGTTTAAAATATTTACCCAGGTACATAAGGGGGTTGTGCAGCTCTCGAACAATGCCCTGGAATCTTTCCCATCAGTAAGAAAGCAGACAAAAAGCGGACACTGTTTAACCTCAATGCCTTAGCAGCAAGTGAGAAGTGCAAATATTGCATTTCTATAAAGCCCTAGAAGCTTCATAGAAATGGAGTGGCAACTAATTAGTTTGATGCTATAGTCACATCTAATGTTCTTAAGTAGCTTCTTTGAAAAAACTCGATGTCTTGAAATCCTTGGCCAGATTATTAAGTGGAGGCTTTGTGATGGGGCAATAGATAGGTGTTTGCTCCACAAATACATAAAGATTTTGGTAACTGCTTACTGAATCCACTGCCTTCACTAATCTGCACTGGAAACTTCACTATGAACAGAGCACTTCTCAGAGTACAAAAGCATGAAGTATCTGTGTACCTTTCAGACTACAGGGCAAACAATTGGCTTACAGTAGGCCACCAAAAACAGGGGCAGGCATTTAACCAAGTGTCTTCCGTACTTGCAAACTGAGAATGAGAATAATGCAACTGCTATTCGTTCATATGCTCTCCTCTATCCTTAAATTAAAAAAAAAAAAGATGGGTCCAAAGGACTGAGAAATTCAAACGTTCTGGTTAGAGGTATTGAGATCATGAAGAACATATTTTCAAGTCAGACAAAACTGTAACGATCACATAACCCTTTCTGTACACAGCTGATCACACAGCCCCAGAGCCTGTACAGCATCTATACAACCATGCCACGGGAAGTTGTGGTATAAACTTGTAAGATCATTAGAATCACAGAAAACATAATCAAAAATGCTTCTTTGACACAGAAGTTCAAACTGGTTTTCAAAACAATGACAAAAATACAGCTCATTATATATATGCAGCCAGAAGGCTGTCTTTTCTAAATGTGACTTCAGTGTGACATTTGGGAATGCAAGCTGCTATACACTGGATGTCTGAGGTCAAGTTCTGTTCTCTTTTATCCAAGTATAACCTGGAGCAGCTTCAATGAAATTATGCTAGATTTATATTGACATATGCATCTAGTTCAAATTCTTCTATGGCTCTAATTTTTCTCTAATTGAATGACCTAACACAAATAGTATTTGTTCATCTGTATACATCCCCTTTGACACACTGGAGGAAAAAAAAGAGAAAGACATTGAAAGGAAGTTGGAAACAGTCCTCGAGATCTGTTTTTCTTTGAAGAACAGCAGTTGCATTTCTGGGCACTTCAAAGTCACATACTTTAACAACATTCGAGATTAAGTGAATCTTACCTCAACTTGCTTTATAAAGACCAACTCTTTCACGAACACATACCAGAGGTTGGATATACACACACCTATAGATTAACAAGTTCATCCTCAGTGAATCAGGCCTATCTACAGATAGGCCACGCTTTCAATCAAATGACAAATTTTCAAGAGTTGTTTACAATGGAAAAGCCATAATGAATTTCATTAGCTTCTTAAAAGTTGTCAGTTTGCAACAACATTCAATACAACATTTTTATTGCAATTCAAAGTTTGACAGGTGTCAACATTTCCTGACATTACAGCCAAAATACATATTACCATATCCACCCATCAGAAAAGTTGAACCAAACCAATTTACCAATTGTAGTTGCTGTATGCAACAATTATCACACAATTCAAACATACCAGCAGCATAAACAATTTTTTAATTATTTAGCAAGATTCCCTTTTCCAGGTGAATGTAGTTTCTCTTCTATTGAAGTTAATTTTATTAGATTTAGAACTGAAAAAAACCAAACCAAAACCAAGCCAAACCCAAAAAGACCCCCAAAGTTTTTCTTAAAGCAAGGTAGCTAGAACAAACAGATAAAATCAGCAAGTTTTATAACAAATCAGTCTATTCCCCTTGTGTGTATTTTGAATTTCATGGCTTATTTACTTAACTTCTTTGGCACCAACTTCACAGCACATGCCAATACAGTATTTGTTTAAATGCTGTTTTATGCACATGCTAGTAACGCTTACTTTCAAATTCTTGTACATCCCAAGAGCCTCAATTGAAAAAGAAAAAAAAAAAAAACAAGAAAAAAGAAGAGGATTGGTAGGGGGTAAACAAGGTTTTACAACTAGTGCCTTTATCTGTGGCCGTAAAAATATAAACACTATGCGCCAATAAAATGCTAATTTCTTTACGCACGGAGTTTTCCAGCACCTGGGGCAGTATGAAACGCGAGGACAGCTATAGGCAGACACAAGTTTGGCTGGCCCGGCCGGCGGTGACCCCCCGTGCCTGGCCATTGGGTCACCCGGGCCATGTACCGGGGCCGAGCCGGGTCCCGGCCCCGCGGAGCGGGCACCGCTCTGTGCGCACCGCACCGCGCCCAAGCCGCAACCCCGGCCCGGGAAGTTTTGAAGCCCTGGCTGCAGGTTGGCTAAATGAATAAATAAATAAATAAGCCCGTAAACCTCGGAAAAGCCGGCAGCAGGACCACCGATAAATCACCCTAAGCCCCCGCGCTGCAAAAGTCAGGTTTCCCAGGAAATGATGGCAATCACTTGAGGCAGAAAAGGCATCTAGATGAGCCCATCTCCCTCCCCTCCTCCCTGATTGTTTTAAAGCCACCGAGTCCGGGGGAAAACTCTCAACTCTCTAAGTCCTTAATAGGATTGGAGTCCGGGTCTCTCCAAGCCGCTCCTCATCACACAGGGATCAAGTTGCAGCAGGGAATTTTTTAAATTCCTTAGCAAATATACTCGTCGAAAGATTGCCCCTCCCGGATGGGGGGGGGGGTGACAAGGAGGCGAGGGGGCAACTTCATTTTTCTTCAGAAAAAAAAAAAAAAGACAAACTCAATGCTGGCTTTGGGGAGCCCCTGCCGTCCTCCGGGACCCAGGGCAAGGCGGTCCCGGCAGCAGCCCGGGGCTGGGACTGTCACCGCAGCCCCCGGGAAAAACAATGGCCATGGAAGCACGGTCCCGGCGGGGTCTGGATGGGGAAAGGGGGGGGACACACCGGACACACGCGCGGCTCCATCCTCCCCGCTCACCTGCGAGGTGGGGGGGACACACGACACGGGCCCCCCTCGGGCACCCGCTGCGAGGAGAAACCCCTACCAAATTCGTACCCTCCCTCACACACACCCCCCACCGGCGCAGGGCAGCTCCAACCAAAGCGGTAGAAGAGGAGGGAAAAAAAAAAAAAAGAATAAAAAAACACAATGAAAAGACACAATAAGCATCAACTTTACCCAAAAAGCGGAGCAGCAAGTTTTCAGCAGACGAGCGGTTGCCGCGGAGCAGCGCTGCTCCTCCGGACCCCCATCATAAACTTGGGGGAGGGGGGCGTGGGAGGGACTTTCCCTCCGTCCTTCCCTTTTGTGCCTCTCCCCCGCTCCGCTCCTCGCCAAAAGCTGCCGCGGATCCCGGCGGCGGCGCGGCGTTCTCCCGGCTGCAGCCGCGGAGCAGCTCCGCGGAGGCGGGCGGGGAGGGCCGGGGGCGGCGTGCAGAGGTGCGGGGCTCCTGCTGCCCGGGCGGCCGGCGGGACACGGAGCGCACACGTACACCTACTTTATGTATATACACACAGATATACACACACATGCATACGCACGATGGATGAAGTTGAGCAGCCTGCAGGAAGACGCTGGAGCGCTTTCAAGCCCTGACACAAGAGGAAAACTGGCTCTAGGGTCTGTTTTCTCTTCCACCCGCCCTTTAAGAAAAAAAGGGAAATCTAAACCTTCCCACCCTTTCGGCGCGGGAGCAGCGCACCGCTCCGGATCTTCTCTTTCCTCCCCCCAGCCCCTTTCATCCGAGATCGCCCCCTCGCCTCGGCGAACCGCACCATTTCGGGTGCGGGGCGTTCTGTAGGCTCGGGGGGATCCGCTCCGCCAGCCCGGCCCGGGAGCGCCGGGAGCCCCCGCACACCCTGCTCAGCTGGAGCGCATCTGCAGCGAACCCACACAAATCCCCCTTCCTCGGGGAAAGCCGCCCCCCTCCTCCCCAAAGAGCACAAGTTTGGCCTGTGCAGATTCGCTCGCGCAGAGGCGGGGATGGAGCTGGGGGTGGCTCTCCTCCAACTTTGGTGGTTGCTTTTTCCCCACGAGTTCGCGCGACTTTTTCAAGCCCCCGCCCCAGCAGGGCTGGAGGCAGCAGAGCTCCGCGGAACATCCTCGCACACGGGCGGCTTTACCCGCCAGGAACATCTAGGGGGAGAAACTCATTTCTTAAAGACTGCTCCTTAAACGCGATAAGCAACCTCACCGGAGCACGATAATCTAGTTTCGTCCTCCTGTTTTGGGACTGAGGCTACGAGGAGGAGAGAAAAATACTCCAAAAAAGTGCCCCGCTCCCAACCCCAAATATCTTAGCTTTTGCTCCGATCTACATTAAACAGCAGTACCAATGAGAAACGCAGCAGCCTGAACTTGGACTTTGGCCAGGCTGGGCTTGTTATTTGATTTGTTTTGATTTCTTTGGCTATGGAATTTATCAAAAGTTTAAAACACAACCAGATGCTGTTGGGAAGGGTCACTGTGCTGTACCCCAGAGCAAGCTCAAACTCGCCGTATCATCAGGGTATCTGACTCCGGCAGGATTATGGCCAGTACCATGGCAACCGCATGCCACATCAGCCCCCAGCTTCACTTTCAGTCCCTTGGGCAGTGTTAACATTTGCCAGCGGATTTGCCCGACACGCAGCCCAGGTCCGGGCAAGTGGAAAATGAGCACAAACCACTCACAAACCTTCCTCTTCCAGCCTGTGCAAAGCAACCTGGCTGGACTGCTCCATACTACAATTTTAATCTTAAAAACCAGCTGCCGATTTGGGTGCCTTCTGTTGGAAATTTTGCACAAATGCCTTTTTTTCCCCCCTTCTCTTTTGGGTGTCATTAGAAGGCTGGTAGTGACAACTGGCTCACCATGCCCTGCCAAATCCCATTTATCCCATTCAGATAGCCTGAGAAGGACTGTGAGGCAGATTAATTTGCCAACCACCAACATTGCAACTTTTTTTTTGGTCAAAATCTCGCAATAATATGCACTCACTGTTCTGTCTGAAGAAATTCCCTCCTCTCTCCATGGTACACGTGCAGTTGGTGATGGCACAGCAGCCCAACCTTACCCCATCCAAGTGGACGATTTTGTGCTGAGAGGAGTTTCATTGCACCTACTACTGATGAGCACCATGCAAGGGAGACCCAAAAGAAGGATCAAAAAAAGTCTTTGATCTCAAAAAAACAAAGCCCACTTTTATTCCCAGGTTACTTTACTTGGGAAAGATGACCTGGGAGCTTGGGAGATAGGTTAGAGTAACGGGGTTTTGGATGGATCAAAATGACAAGCTGGTAAAATATTAATACTAGGTATGTTCTAAATTCTTGCTGCACATTTGTAAACCTGTGTACATCCAGACTGTCGGCCAAGAACATATTTAACATAAAAAGAAGGATTAATTCAGAGTTATGTAAAGAAGGACAGTTTTCCCTCCTAGAATTCTCATATGTCAGTCCTTTAGAAGATGGAGATTTTTAAGCCTGAATGGAAACTCCTCCTTTTTGTCTGAAGGATGATGGCTGGCGATGGCTGGAGTTTTTTGTGAACTTTGAGATGGCTTTTACATTATCTGCCTGCTGTAGCTCATCTATCCTTCCCTCTCCTGCTCTGCTCATTCAACTGCCCTCTCTTAATCTTCCATAGGTGTCCAAGATTAAATAGACGACAGAATGACTGACATTTGGTGCACATAAAAGAACCAAAATATGAACAACGGGTCAAAGTGCAAACCTTCCCTCTGGTCTTCCCTCCTGCTCTCGTACAACTTGATAGGGATGAAACCAAGTAGGGATGTAAAGACATATGACAACGTGCACTTCCTATATTTTGCTGTAGCACGATCATGTGGATATAGCAGATATGTTCCAAAATGTTCAGGACTAAGGAAAGAGGATTTTTTAATCACAATTTTAAAAAACCCTCTCACAATGATGAAAGATTGACATACCACCAGGTCCAGGATTACTAATCTGGGATCTGTCCCATTTCTGTTAGGTCAGTGGAAAGAATCTGGAAGTCAGACAAGCCTCAAAAGGCACAAAAATGTTAAAATGTTAAATATGTTTGATATAGGTCTGAAAAAGGACTGGAATTCTTTATTAAAGTACATTTTTTAAAAAAATTGTTGAAAAACCAATGGGGAATGCTTCATTCTGTTCTATTCATGTCTACAGAATTTGATTCTATAAATCTTCATAAATCCTTTTGATAAATTAAAAAGCCCATTTGAGTATTCCAAAGTATACTCACAGGTAGAAGCTGTGAACCAGGAAAAAAAATTAAATATGCTTCTCTTTTAGAACGTAGAAAATAATTACATGTGGGATGATCACTAGGAGATAGAAGCCTAAAACCATGTTTCATGCAACTCATATCTTTATGATGTCTGGTTTAAGTCCAAGTGGGAAGTAGTACATGACCAGTTCTGCCCTGATTTAAACAGCTGTACCAGCTTTGGGGTCAATGAAGTTGCACTGAACCTGAATGCACCTCGAATCTATTGAATGTAATTAATCACAATGATATTTAATGAATTAACAATGTCATGTGCAATGCTGGCTCAGAATTTTACTACAAGAATGGGAAAGATTTTTTGGCACAGTAAATTCCTTTCTTTTTCTAAAGTTGCCCTGTTACCTGGGGGAAATCGTAGCTGTGGGTAGACAATGAGACAATACTCATGGGGATGATATGCAGCTCTGATTCCTATCTGCCTCCATGTATGTGTTGTCTCTTGTTTAAAGCTTCAGTGTTAAGTTTCTCAAGGCAGGTGCTATCTTCCTGCATTTTACATTTTGATTAAGCCTTATTTTATTTTTCCTCTCCCCAAAGTATATTGAAATTATAATTTCATTGCTAATTTCCTGAGAGTTCCTGCTTTCGTTTTTTTTGTTTGTTTGTTTTTGTGTTTGGTTTGATTTGGTTTGCTTTGGGGAGGGAGGATTGAGGGGTTTTTTTCTGCATTGGAAGGATCCATTTTTGCCTGGTTTAATTTATGTTGGATCATGAATATTGAACTAATACCATAAACTCTTCTATGTGTGTTCTGTCATTACAAAATTATACTTCTATGCTATATCAGCAAAGAAGGTGGTACTTCTATTTACTGCAAAACTGGCCTGGAAGTCTGCCTGTCATTTCGGAGAGCATGCAAGATCTTACTCAGCTTCAAATTGAAATGCCCTGCTAAAACAAGACCTATTCACATCACTATATACACTTAAATTTCTGCTTGTAAAATGATAGGCAAACCATTTGAATGGCTTTCACAATGGACTAGGGATACACACATGTCTTAGTTTAGGGCAAGCTTCTTCTTCCCCCTCTCTTGCTCTCAAAGCCAGTCTTAAAGGTGCAGAACTTAATATATAACATAAACCAGACGATTGGGGATACCAGTATCATAAAGTCACCCCAGGACAACACACCATCCTTACCTGTCTTAGAGAAGAGCAGAAGCTTCTTCGAAGTGCACAGAGCCCATCATGTCTGTGTGGTTTTCAAGAAGTGCTGCACTTGTGGCTGCTCTTGCCAGACCCAGCTTATTGTCATATGGTGAGAGGTCCCTTCTCACTCAGGTCTGAAAAAGGAAGCACAGTTTGCTCTAGGACTGGCAACTCCAAACTCAAACTACAGAAAGTTTAATAGGGAAAGCTCAGAGATAAATTATGCCTCTCACAGTGTTTCCAGCTGTAGAAAAGAAGCAGTGCATTGTGCTTATGTGGGGAAAGGAAAACAAGTGACCCTGCGGAAGCACTGCATTCTGGCATAGATGTGAAAACAAAATGTGCAGCTTCTGAGGGATGGTATTTTCTCATAATCCTTTCCAATTTCTCATTATTTATTCCTCTTCTCGCTGTCCCTCTAACTGTAGCCCCCTCTGCCAGCCAGGAGAAGGGCTACAGGGCCTTGCCTGCCTGGGGGTTGGAGAGGGGGAGCAGGGCAGCACAGCAGCCTTGCAGAGCTCCTTTGTGCTTCATCTGTCCCCTGCAAAATGCTTGATTTGATGAGGACCCAGATAACAATTCTCTTGCCCGGGGTTGATTGGGTTACTCGAAATCTGTTGTCTCCTTATAGGGAGGAGGGGAAGAGAGCAGGCACAGGAATGCACAGAATAGTAACTGGGATACCTGTAGATGGCATTGTGTGACGAACTGCAAACAACTGGAATTGGCAATGAACAGAAAGCAAAACTTGGACATTGATATAAAGTCAATGAGATTTT